TCAAACTGGCGCCAAGGGGCGTATACGCCGTTCTCTTAAATCTTGTGATCCCCAAAACATTTTGTTTGGGCAGTTCGGATCAGGCAAATTTTCAATTCAGCAGTTAACCACAATTCAACTTCTAGTCTTCAAGTGAAGAAATTTAACTTCAACTCTGTTTCAAAGGTTCCTTTTTGGATTACTGACTGAAATTCAGAGCTGACTTGAAGCGACGCTAAGAGGAGCTTTACAACTTTTAAACGAGAACTTGAGGAGTGAGTATTTAGGCCTACTAGCTGATTCGCTTAGCTCTGATTGCTGCAAGCTGAAGGAACTTGTACAACAAACGGCACAGCTTTTAGATTGTCAATGTAGATACTGTGAGTGGAGTTTAGGGCATTTCATACCAGTGCAGACCTTGGTCACTTTCTACTTGGCTGCACACATGCAAGAGGTACTGCTGCAACCGGGACACAACGTTATCGGAGCACAAATATGAGAAAACATGGTGGATATGTACCTATGTCATAGATAATGAGTGGTTATCAAGGTGAGATGATTGAGCTTTGATTGATCTCGTTCTACTGTGATTTGGACTAACCAAGATGTTGAGTTAGTCTGTGTTGTGCGACGTGTTTCTTGGCTCGTGGATGTGCAGGTGTTAAATACATTGGTAGACGGTATTGGAAAAGGTCAAGCGAGGGGCATGGGTTGATGAACCAGAGTTGTGAAAACCGAACACGGAGTCTTGGACCAAGGGGCCAAGAGGCCAGAGGACGGACCAAAGATGGCTAGCACTTGGCACATCGATGAGCAACAACACATGCGAGATGGTGACAAAGACGGTGTTGTCCTCAGCCAAGGCCGGGATTGGAAAAAATTATGACGAGGCGTCGCAAGCACTAGGCGGACCGTCAGGCTGAAGACATTGGAGGACACATGTCGACATTTGAGGGGTTGTGTACCTACTATGCTACACTAGAGAGTTTGGCAATTTCAACCCCAAAATCACGAGCGGAATGGTTTCCGGGTTTGGGCCTCAAAACCCAAGGGAGGATCTCAGGGATGTAGCATCACTGGAGAACTAGCATCGAGGTGAAACGACTTCATAAAGGTCCCATAGCCGTCTGATGCATGGAAAACCAACTAGAACCATTTTGTCTTTGGTGGCTAAATGGTTCATGTCGAACGATGTGCTTGGTTGCTGACAGAATTAGTTGTGCCGCAAAAACTCTAGTTTCTCTTGTGTGTCTTGCGCACGTACTCCTTGCCAAAAGTTTGACGCATGATTTTAGTGCTGCAACCTATCACAGGTTGAGCAAGCTGCACTTTAGTTGTAGCCAGTTATGGCATAAAACCAACTTGATCCTAAATTTGGTATTCTTGAAATGTGTAATACCCTCTATAAATAAGAGGGGGGTTCTTTCCACCACTTGTTCATTTCCTAGGGTTAGCTAAGTGCTCTAAAAATTAGAGGAGTTAAGCTCGAGTTATTTGATTTCCTCTTAGGTGAGCTAATCTGATATATAAATGAATTTAGCGAGGTTTGATTTTCTATTAGGTTTGTTTCTCACCAAAGTGGGAGGATGTTGGAAGGTAGGATAATATGATGTATAGATTAATTTATTGTTGATTTGAAGTGAAGAAAATCTTGTTAAATTAATTTCTTGTGTCCCTCTCTTTGAATCTGTTGGTTTGTTTTTTGTGCTTTTTTTAATCTTTGCTTGGTGATTCTTAGAATTGCAATTGATCTGATTTCTTGGGTGATCTTGAGGTGATTTTTGGGGCCTTTGGACATGGGTACACGATGGGATAAACTCCAGCACCAAACTCCCGCCTCTTCTCCAAGATCTTATGTTGGTGAAAAATCTTTGAGTAGGGCATCTTAGATTGATTCTTGTGCTCAACCTTGGTGCTATGATCTCAAGGCAATATATTTAAGCTTTGCCCTTCAACTGATTTTCTACGAGCACATTGAATTATCTCTTTTGAGTTTTACAAGAAAACTCCAGTTTGATAGAAATTTGTGGTGAAGCTTTAATATTTTTTGAAAGATTCCTTGGGATTATCTTCACAACGAGTTAGTAAAGGTGTGGGGCAAGTTTTGTAATATTTTTTAACTTATTTGGTATTGGGGGAGGCCTTAGGGGGGCGGGGGGCTCCCTTTCCTACTAATCGACCAACATTTCGCCTGCTAGGGACGAAAGGCCTGCCAACGAAACAAGTGGCAAAAGCTAGCGGCAGTTTTCACTTGGCTCGCGCAGGAGGGCGCAAAAGCTTTCGACCAACGTTTCGCCCATGTGGGTCGAATCGGCCATTGAAGAAACGATTGGCGATTGGCGTTGGTAGTTTTCACCCTTGACTCAAGGGAGAGGGCGCAAAAGCCCTAGACCAGCGGTTTCACCCGTTTGAGCCGGATGACGCATCGACGATACCTACGGCGAAAGGCATCTGCAGCTTTCGTCAGCGAGTGATCATTAGCAAAGTACGGCATCAGGAAGGACTTTTTAGTCTGCCAGTAGCTAACCGTTATAGAATGACATATCGTCTTGCAGGTCTTCCGTCCTCTTCGGCCTGTCGTCCTGCTAGGAAGGCCCAGCGGGCACCGGCCGTGGGGGCCCGAACGGAGAGGACCCACCAGAGGAAGGCGTTTGCCGGTGAAGGTCGCAGACGGGGTGGACCAAAGACGCCTTCAAGGACGAGGCATATTCTCGGGGATCTGAGTAGTTAGGGGGGCATTTTGGTCCTCGTAAAAGATACGAACGTATATAAATAGGGCTCCACAGGAGTACTGAGCAAGGGAGGACAGAACCCTTGTTTCTGTGATCAATACATATATTTCCTTTCGTCCTTCCGTTGTGTTCCTTCCATTCGGAGTCGCCGTGCTTCCGGTAGCTAGAGCAGCAGCCTGGTGTTTGAAGGCTAAGGCCTAGAACAACATTTGGATCGATTTTGGAGTTTTTTTTGGAAAGAAGGTCAACCAAGCTTGAAAATATTTTTTGGTATTGTTGTTGTCTATGATGTTATGAATCTCTTGATCAAATTTCATGATTTTCAGAATTCCTTTGATTGTGGTTTCATATTTTTTTCCAGAGAACAACGGGCTGAATCATGAATTTCCTTATTTTGAGAAGATACTTCCTGGAAGTGATCCTTACTCTTCTTCGGAAGTGATCGTCTCTCATTCTTGAGAAGAGAAAAAAATTTAAGATCTCATTCACCTCTTTTCTGTCCGCCATGCGCATTCGGTCCTTTCAAAATGGAAAGATGAATAGAGACTCCATCAGATGGCCAGCGCCTGAGGCAACTTCAGCACTAAAGGGCATTGTTCGTCTCAATGATTCCAACAGTAACCTCCAGGACCAGGCACAACCAGAAAACCGAGCGAAACAATGGTAGCAGGACGCTACAAGAAGCGGAAGCTCGTCACAGTTAGCTGCAAAGGAAATTAAATAACACACAGCGGATGTTTTGATAGAACTGTAGAGTTAGCTAGCTGGGAAAAAAGACTCTCTGGATGTTTGCTTGTTAACTCATAGAGTTATGCTTGTGCAGGCTACAGCAGATCTATGTTGTTTGCATTGGTTTGAAGTAGATATCTGACAAATTTTGATCCATATCAGTTGTAAAGGAATCTCACCAGACAACGTTGCCTGCGAGCCTCAACCGTTTTTGTATATCTGGACTGCCTGGACCAGGCAAGAAACGACCAGGGCTCCAGCTGCATCCAGAAACTCTACACTTCTACAGGCCAGGCAATCTGTGTCAAGGAACGTAACCAAACAGCTCTTGTATAACCTGAGATAAGAGTACAGGACAGTGACCCATGATTCGGCGATCATGGTGCCAGTACGAGTCGCGCTTTCACTTGTATCCGACTCTCGCTGCAGTGATAAAACCTTGGGGAGATCACCGGCCATATATTATCATGTATGTCAAACGCGCCCGTACTACATAGCAATAGGCAATACAGGTAACATGCCATGTTACCGCCGTGACCACCAGGAATATCTATAGCACACTAGTGCCCTTTTATGTTGAATTGATGCATGGATTTGCGTGCTAGAGGATGCATTCTTTAAATGTTCATTCTGACACCATTGGCATAGTTGCTGTACAATATTCAACTGGTATGCATGTTACTGTTACGAGATGCTTACTGAAGCCCACGCACTCATTTGTTAATTTGAAAGCTGAAATCAGTTCAATGAATGGATGGTCACAACTGGAACAAGCTGCCGACAAATGATAAGCTGCTCAGCCCTCACCCAAATGTGACTTGTTAACCGATTCAGAGGCAACTGACGCGCTGTTCACTTGGCTTATAAGCCGTACTTTTTTAGCCAACGAATAATATTTTTCTCTCACAACAAATCAGCGAACAGTACTTTCAGCCACGGCTTATCAGTTAAGCGAACAGGACAAATGTTAGATAGCTGCATTACCTGGCCCAGCGTTCTTGTTTTGACTAGACAGACTTGAATACTAGTTGATGCCCTGTTCGCTTGGCTGATAAGCCATAGCTGAAAGTACTATTGGCTGATTTGTTGTGAGAGAAAAATACTATTCGTTGGCTAAAAAAGTACGGCTTATAAGCCAAACGAACAGGGAGAAGTGATCGATGACAACACTGACAACCAAAGGAAATCTTACAGCCCGTTCGCTTGATTGTATTTGGCTTATAAGCCATGACTTATCAGCCAACGAACAATATTTTTCTCTTACACCAAACCAGCTAACAGTACTTTCAGCCATGGCTTATAAGCCAAACCAGGCCAAACGAAGAGGGTGTTAATCTGCTGCGGACCTTGATCACCTCTTATTCTCCTACATTTCTATCGGTGTACCGTGCACAACATCACAACTGGCAAAGACCCAAGTACAATCATGAGGAAAAGGAAGACACAGTCACACAGATACTGCTACAGTGCTACTAGGCTAGTGGCCTGCAGTGTTATCTGAATACACATACAGAGTTAGACCAAAGAGAAACCATCTGATGATCAAGGCCATAACAGGCTTCAGTGCTTCTGGGCTTCATCAGCACATTCACGCTCGCAAACAACATCACAGTAATCTCCAGGGAACCCCGCCGCAAAGCATCCGGCTGTGCAAAGAGTGAAGCAGTCGTAGCCAAGACTGGCAGCTTTCTCAGGCTGCAGCTGCAGTAGCACATCGAACGACGCAGGCACCTCGTCGCTGTCAACTGCAGCTGCAAAGACAACACAAAAGACCAGGAACACGATGGGGATGGCTCTTGATTTAGCTGCCATGGTAGCCATACAAGCCGCTTGATCGTCTTTCCAGGAAAGGCCCCCTTCACTTCGGCCTCCGGTAACATATATATATAGAACTGGCTCATACTCCAAACTCTACCTCCGTCACAAAAGGATGCACTTATAGGTTTAGATTGAGCCAAACTTATGTTTGACTAAATTTATAGAAAATATTATTAATATTTATGACTCCAAATAGATACACTGTAAAAAAATATATTGCATGATTAATTTAATGATACATATTTGGTATCACACATGTCGTTATTTTTTAAAAGATTTGGTCAAACTTGAAACCTATTGACTTCTCGAAACACGAGAATTGCTTTCTTTCTTTTTTATCGAGGAAGTAGCTAACATGGGCCCCTTTAATAAACTTTAGTTTCGCGCTTATCAGAAGTATCATATAGCACACTTGCTGCATCGACATATTTTACATAGGTCATCACATGGATTTCAGAACTAGAAGATGCATCTTGCATCTTGCATGGTCGGCGTCAGTGTCAGCTGTATGCAGACTACCATGTGCTTTATGAGCCTATGCACTAAATGTTACCCAAAAAAAAGTTAAATGAATAGTCACAACCACAACTTCCCAGAGTAAATAAACTGAAGACATGTTGCCGACTTATGACAAGTTCAAGTGTTCCAACCCTCATCCAAAAGTGAATTTGCTGATTATTTAGATTACTTCCCAGCCCTAACAGGAAAATTGGGTGATCTACTGCAATGATTGAACGTTAACTTAGAAGCAAAAGGAACAGAAATCTGTCCATTCCTTAAATTACTTCAGCTTTATAAGGCCCTTTCACTGACCGCAAAGATCAATCACCATATCTCCACTGCTGACAAGCAGGAAAAAAAAAACCTGCTTCAGCACAGTTATTTGGATATTCATCGTCCCACAGAACATATTAGGTATCCTCACTAAACATTAAGAACAGTACCTACTATTCCATGAAATAAGCCAATATTTCACTGTTGTGATCAACCCTAAGAAATTTTCTCAGACGAACAGCCCATTCCTCAGACCGAACAAGAGCAACTAGACCCGGTCAGGTCAGAGTAACCAATGGATGGCAGCAATCTCAAAAACTAAAAAAAGATTAGAGTACTGTGTAAGTAGCTAAGAATAGAATGCGAGCCAGTGCTGTTTTTTTAATCAACTGCTATCCAACAAACCTTATGCCAATTCGGAAGAAGTTTCCATCAAAAGTCTCATAAGTTGGGCTTGTTGTAGAATCTTGAAAAAGGGACTAGATCATAAAAATGCAGGAAAAAAAACTTTAGTCCCTTTCTCACTTAATTTCAGACCATGTCAACTCATGCAGCAACCTCTGCCTTGAATAGTGCCTATTCATAAGGGGCTTCGCTTCCACCAAGAGTCTCATAATCAAGGGGACATGTACACTCTTGGAAAAGGCAGTAGATTCTCAGAAGAGTAGAGGGAAAAACAAACAAACAAACTCCAGTCCGTTTCTTACTTTATTTCAGATATATATTAAGTCATGTAGAAACCCCCACCTTGAATAGTTCATTTTCATCATATTAGGTTGTAAATACTAAACAGGGTAAAGTTAAATTTGCCCTCAGGGGCATGTGCTCCCATCCCAACCACCGTTGGATGTGCATAGGAATGGGTGCACTACAGGAGAGAAACAATAGTATATTCCATCACTGTAGCACGCTGCTCAAAATCCACTACTAAACAGCTATTCCACCATGACTGGTAAAGGAGGAATGCCTCTAAAACCCAGATGTCAAATGGCAGCTAAGATGGGACCAATTCCATTCCTATAATTTAAGTTGTACCACACATCCATCACTGTAGCAAGCTGCTCAAAATCCGTTGCAAGTTCCAAATGGTGTCAATAACCATAGCACAAAAAACAAAACAAAGAACTTACATGCCACATAAAGCTACCTCCAGATATATTTAGCATCTTAATCCTGACTCTCCTCAACAGAGTGCTTCAATCAGTTCAGGAATGAATGTAAAGTATGGTTATGAATTTCCTCCTGAAAATCATAGATCTAGTTGAATCCTACAATTTTTTTTTAAAAGGAATTGCAGGGATCACGAGACTATATCATACTTAGCTGTTTGACCAGACAACACTAGTTCCATTGTTAACCTTGGTTTGCTTGATTTTTTAGCTGGCTGTTTAACCAGACAACACTAGTTCCACTGTTAACCTTGGTTTGCTTGATTTTTTAGCTGAAATTTGGCACACGCAAAGCATGAACACTAGTTACAAACGTGCTAACTTAACAATATAACCCCTGAATAAAGATATATAATATATGGAAAGAGAAGACTGAATCTGGATTCTCCTAACCTTGAACTGGTGGTATACCATCTGATGTCAGTGCTTGACAATAACCTTGCTGAAAGGCTGCACATCGCAAACATTGCTGAATGCTGATGAACCTATATGTCGAAGGTCATGAACAAATGGTTGGTTACTTATAGTTCATTAATATTGCTGGTAAATTCACCAGCAACAATAAACATGTAGTAGCAAAGGAAATGGTGCAATGCAATCAGACTAAGGAAATGAAGTCATCCTCTTCAATGTACTGTGTATATGCTTGCCAAAATAAAAACTTCTACTTTAACAAACACAGAAATGCAGAATGAAATAACCCTGAACCGCGGAAATACAGAAGTTACGCAGATTGCCATTCCTTGAAGTCTCCCAGTTTGTAGGTTAAGAACATGCAAGTTAATTGGTGAAATTTGCTCTATTGTTAATTCCCCAAGATTCTGAATCAAACATTTACATATCTTTTATTATACGATCACATTTCAAAACAGCAAATTATGTGACAGAATTGGAAAAATGCCATTATAAACACACAGTTTAGAAACATGCCATAGGCCCACAACTTACATGTGGGTCTCAGTCCCACTTGAGATTTTGAGAGTGAAATATCCAATGTACTCTCTTCATTCCAAATTATAAGACGTTTTGTCTTTTCTAGATTCATGGCTTTAACTATGTATCTAGACATAGTGTATATCTAAGTGCATAGCAGAAGTTATGTATCCAGAAAATCCAAAACGTCTTATAATTTGGAATGGAGGGAATATTTTAAACTGCAAACATTGAAATAACATTTATTCAAAGTCGAAATTGCTAGAAAATCTCACCTGAAACATTGATCAGAGAGCAACACAATGAACTAAATACAGAAACTAGAAAAGTGTAAATGTTACTGAAGCAAATGTCACTCTTGTTTGCTTTAATGACCATGGATTCGTTCCATAAAAAATGAGTATGGACAACACCGTTGACTGTCAAAGAACTTGCATGAACCTTGTAAATACAGTATCCCTCTGTTCCAAACTGTAAGTTGTTTTAGTTTGGTAGTATAATAAGTTGAACTTCCATAACTTTGACCATATTTATAGAAAAATGCACCAACTTCTATAACCTCAAGTTAGTTTTGTTTAATCCACCATGAAATACATTTTGATAGTGCTTTCATTTGGTATTGCAGTTGTTAACATATTTTTCTATAAACATGGTCAAAGTTAGAAAAGTTTAGATAATATTAAAACAACCTACAATTTGGAACTGAGGGAGCAGTACTATATGTGACATGGAGACATCCTGGAGCTTGGATAAAGGAACATGAAATCTTAATAATGTATTCAAAACACTAACTTTGCATTTCCCAGGATATCATGTTTCATGTAATCCCAACATGGGAAGCATTAATTGTCATGGCACAAACCAAGCAGTCAACAACAATAGGCACAGAAGGAAGCAATATCTATTTATGGATGAATCATTAAGCTACAAATGTCTGCAGATGCATAACAGAAAATACCATATCATTTACCTCATATATAATTTTTAAATTCAGAGGGTAGAGATAAATAAAAACAGAAGTTTCTAAATCATTGTACCCAAGATACAAACCAGAACAGGCCCGCAAATGTATAATTAAGCAAAGACACTTCTTAAAATGCAACAAAGTGAGAACGAGACTAATGCAGCCTTGTGAATGAATGAGGAAACTAACATATAATTGTGACTAACCTGTTGCTAAACTCACACGCAGGTCCACACACACAGAGTAACTCCACAAAATATTAAGGCACGCCCCAACAGAACCATAGCTTTAATGTATTTAAGCAAGCAGATAACCAATACAGGGACTATATACAAGTTAAAACAAAAGTTGCTTTGATAATGCAGCCTGTATATATCAGGGCAGACAGGTTACTTTGACTGAAGCTCCAACTAAAGACACTTAATCAAACTGGTGTGAGCTAAATACATCTAGTATACAGAATTTACAGGATCTTCCAGGTATCAGGCTATCACAACTCACACGATTCCACCATGCCTAAAACTGCTATCCCCACCATCAACACTGGAATCCAAACCTGGTGAATCATACCATTTTGGTCCAGTGTAAAATCCCTCTACATGAATACCTACCAAACTTGGGTCAGTTACCATGGTGTCATCATGCATCAATGGCTTGATGACCTTGGAATCCTCCACACCATCATCATCCCCACAGTTAAGAATACTCTTCGCATCAAAGTCACCCACATCATCCTTAAGCATCCACTTGTTACACTTTGGGCTATCACCCATGAGCATCTTCCTATCCTCGCACTCTGCTGCCATCCTATCCCACGAGACAATAGGTCCAAGGCTTGAGCCAAAGTCAGTATCATCATCATCAAGCATCTCATCATCCTTGCAGAATGCTTGATCATGCTGGTCTAATTGGTGAGATACATCCCCTGACCCCCATCCCCTGACTTCTTCATTGCCTACCATCAATGTCTCCTGTTGGTAGACATTACCCTCCAAATTAAACTTCCTAATCCTGTGCAAAACCTCAGACAACTCGGTGGACAGTGACCCCAACAATTCTGGGTGCATCTTAGCCACCTTCCCTTCTAGCAAGAGAACTTCTGATCTCAGCTCCCGTACTTGCTGCAAGACCGCCTGGTGCGAGTCATCAATATCAACATCTTCATCCCCCTTTGTTGAAAAGGTAGGATCACCTTCCTCACTGACACCATAAATGTCTGGATCAAACTCAAGAGCTCCCTTATGACCAACCAACCTGTGAACAATTCGTGCACTGCCATCAAGTGGCCCTGGCTCATGCCCTGAATGCACAGCGTAAAGTTTGAACACTGCAGTGCCCTCCTCCAAGTACACAAAAGTCTTGTCTTTTTCATTATAATTAGCTATTGGCACAATTGCCCGAATACGGAACCCACAACCACACCTCTTTGACTGGTATGGCTCTCGCTTTAGAACCCGCGCCTTCTTACCCTCGGAATTACTGGCTGAGGATGCAGCACTGCCACTATTTGAGGTCGGCACTCCAGCACGATGGCACGCATAATCTTTCACCTCAGCCATGAAGGGCTTATACCTTATATACTTTTGCCTTATACAAAGGACAACCTTGTGCTTGGCAGCCAATTGCTGTAACCTACGAGGCACATCTTGAGCCGGCACATCCAATGTCTCAGTATATTCAAACCTGCGCCGCCGCTTCCCACGTCCAGGCGATGAGATAGCGGAATCAGGTTGGCCAGCAGGCGCAGCTTTACAAACGGAGCATGCAGCAACACATACACGGATAAATGATTCTGGTATACCGTAGAATTTGGCCCCCACAGTCCACGACTGCTTGATGCGGTCGACGGTGTCCTTGAACGCGAGGTGCCGGAGCAGGTCGGGGTCGGCGTGCGCCTCCGAGACTATGTCCCTCCACATGCCGACGTGGGAGACGCGCTGCGCAGCGTTGGACTTGAAGTGAAGGTGCCGGCCGTCGGGCGACGCGGCGAGCTTGTCCTGGATGCGCTTCCACGCGGTGAGGTAGGCGGTGTCCTCGTTCCGGTCCTTCCAGACCGCCCGCCAGGAGGCGAGCACGGAGAGCGACGTGGCGCCGCGGACCTCGTCGGAGGAGGCGGAGCGGCCCGCGCGGATGCAGCGCAGCATGAGCCCGTAGGAGGCGGCGCTGAAGGTGTAGAACTGCGACGAGACGTGCGGGGCCGGGTCGATGGACGGCAGCAGCGCGAAGGGGGCGGAGGCGCCCACCAGGCTAGGGTTCTGGCCGGGGATTTGAATCAGTGCCTCGTCGTCGGCATCGGCGTGGAGGAGGTAGCTGCAGGGGCTAGGATTCGGGGAGCTAGGGTTTGGGTCCGGCGGGTGGGGTGATTTGGGGAAGGAGGGGGAGGGGAGGAGGGGATTCATGGCGGAGATGGTGGGAGACGGCGACGAGGTGGTCTTCGGCATCTTCGGAAAACAAAGGGCGTGATTGGTTGCCTCCTCGGTCTGCCAGCCGGGATGGAGGGCCTGCAGGCTCGAACCATAGCAGACGACCTTGCCTTGTTTAGTTATAAATGAGTGTAGATTATAAGAATTGTGTCTGGTTGCTTATGTGAATAGTTTTATGATATGAATTGGTATGTTCAGCTGTGTTTGGTTTGACGCACGATAGAAAGTGTGAGCACTCAGTTATGGTTTTGATGAGGTTACCATCCTACTCAACAGTATAAGGCAGACAGTAGAGATATTTTTACGTCTCAGTTCATTATGCGCTGCCATTGATAATGACCTTAAAGCATCTAATGACAAAATACAAGCATACAATAATTTTCTCATCTAATAGTCAACAACATTAGGGTCATGGTACCTCAAAAGATCATTGTCATTACAAGTTTGCACAGCATATTTTGAACATCACATACAGTTGTAGCAACGAGTAAGAACGAACCACAGGAGCACCAGCAAGAAAAAAGACTATACCACAGCCACAACAAATAACACCTGTGTGTTCCTGACCACCTTTGGTGGAGGCTTGACAAAAACTTTATCATCTTCACAACCCATGAACTCCAAGTATGATGCTTCTGTCTCTTCTTTGATAGGAAAGATGTTGTAGCTGTTGTTTTTAAAACCAGTTACCTAGGCATTGCATCTAGCCCAGGTTGCATATACCCCAGGAACCATATCAAGCCATGTGCCCCTTAAAAACACATAAAAACAAGTATAAGATGTTGATAAGATGGTGGTTAATTCAATCGATTTGCCTCAGATTTAATTGTCTTTTCATTTGACCTTTAACTTAGAGCTTAAGAAATATAGATAGCAACAAAGCTCAAACAGATAGTAGAAAACCAAGATGATGACAGGCATGAAACCATGAGAGACATCTAGCCCAGCCATCAGATCATCACAACCGTCCAGCTGTTGCTTGGGCATGAATGTCTCACATGGTTAGATGACAGCCATGAGAAGCATAAGTAGAAGATAGAAGAAACAATGCTCCAGGACCTCACAAGTCTAAGGTCATCAGTGTGCATAATCCACTACTCAAACTGGCACTGTAATCTTCATATGCATGAAAAGGATCTCATAATTGTATCAGCCCCAGTCAACAAAATGGTTCACATCATAGGCACAAAAAATACAGGCCTCAGCTAACTGCAAACTAACTTATAATCATCTTACAAGCTAACTGCAATTATCCCGGGTGGCAAATAAGAACACAAATTGCTGAGGCAAGTTCATGGCTGTCATGGAAGCGTGGGACACGTCCATTCTAGTCATCCGGTAGGCATGCCTACAACAGTTGCTTGGGAATGGACGTATCCCACGGTTTGATGACAGACATGGGAAAACACAAGAAGACAATAAAGCAGTAGCATGAAGAATACCCACATCCACCTCAGATTGCTATAGTTTGCATCATCGGCCAAATAGGAACTCCAATAATAAGAATAACAAGAACAATAACAGAATCTGAAATGTCTCAGATCAACTAAGTGACAATCCAAGGTATTTTAGGACTCAGATCAACTAAGTGACAATCCAAGATATTTTAGGGCTCAGATCAACTAAGTGACAATCTTTCACCCGTTGTTAATGTCTACACCACACAAATCAACATAGCCTCACATCCATCACCATGGCTCCTATGCTTTACAAAACTAGGTGCAGCCTTGGTCAGGCGGCAAATGGTTCTTTATAGCATCAGATGAGGTCAGTGCTACACATCAAAATACTTCCTACAACATAAGACAGTTAGGATTAAGCAAAATGCCAATGGTTTTTTGTAGTTTGGATGATGCCTAGTGGCACTCTAAGGCCATCAGCTCTTTCAAGAGCATCAGACAAGATAAGAGCATTATGTGCAGATCCCTCCCAACCAGCAAGCACATAGGTGAATCTGAGGTCAAAGTCCACGGCTATCAACACATTTTGTGTGATGGTGTGCTTCCTGCCTCTAAAGGCAACTTGCATCTTCACAGGCACTCTAGCTAAGACATGAGTACCATTAATTGCTCCTATGCAGTCCTAAATCAACAAAACATACGTGTAAGTGAGTATTGACACTAAACTGATAATGAATGAGACCTATGTATGACAAGTTATGGATACCAACCTTGAAATATGGGTATCGCCTTCTGCTCCCAAGGATCATAGGATAGACATTGGTAGCAGGAGGAACAATCAATTCATTCCTCAGCTCTCCTACTGCACATAACACCTTTTAGAAGAACCTACTAATTGTCTCCGCGGACCTCCTGAAGGTGAGGTCAACCACCCTAAACCTCTCATTGTGACCAACAACATGTAAGAACATGGCTACTTGTTCTTCAACAGATGTATGTATGCTATCAGTGACAAGCTCTCTACTACGGAAAAGGTCACGAAGTTGGAAAAAAGGGAGCCCTCTTCATTCTAAGAAGGTTGACACAGTGCACATCATTAGATTTATAGATGTATCTAAGGTTGTTCATCCTCTGTTTGTCCCTCTTAACTATGGGACCATAGGTGTCTGAGCACGAATCTTCAACTCTCATCCTAAACCACATGAAAAACCAAGCAGCCACTGCAACAACCACAGCAGCGGCAGCCCTGTGCCTAGCTTCAAAGGCCATGTCTACCAACAGAATGGAGGGCAACATTAGAAAGAGAGCATGCAACATGGGTGTGTACTGCTTAGCAAGCAAAAAATCGGATAAAATAAACTATGAAAGACGCGACTGCCACACCAAAGGGTGCTCCTCCAGCGTATACTATTACACAATCAACATCAATGACCTCTAGGCACTTTGCTCAGTGTGTACAACAAAATAGGCATCAACATGTACAAGATCTACACAAAACATGAGGTATACACCAAATACGAAGTATCATGTACAGATCTAAGCTAGAAACAGGTAAATCAGGTATAGCATCGCACAGATCTGAGGATGTCAAACCAAGAACCCTAATTTCTTGACGTTGCAAGCAAAATCCACAAACAAATCAACAAAATCGACACTGAAGAAGGGGGATGGGAACAGTGTAGGTGGCATATACCGTCGAAGCGTCGGAGGACCAAGAGAAATCCGCCAGCGGTGGTCGCCTCGGTAGGGCTATCGAGGTCGAGGGGGGCTAAAGGGGAGTTCGCACCAGAGCTATGGCGGAAGGAGAGGCGAAGAGTGACGGCAGTAACCCTAGCCACGACCCGCGCGCGCGCTTTATCGCCAGGATGGCCTCATCTCCCGCGCTCTCCGCAAAAGGTTCCCTCCAAGCACTGAGCGAGTCTGCACCGAGAGGAAAGTGGGGATCGAGAAGACGGCGCCTTTCGGGATGGAGGAGGGAATCTGCACAAGAGGAAGCAGGAGAAACATGGGAGTAGGGCAACCAAACATAGGCGAATGCACCAAAGGGTGCGGGATGGGCCAAATGACGGCCCGGTTAGGGCAACCAATCATGCCCAAAATTTCTCCTCGCGATTTTGGGGGATTTTTCCTCTCTAGTTTCACTGTGCCCGTGTGTGCAGCTATATACACCTCTGGTTCATCGGTCGTCTTCCTCGAGCTTTTTATCTATAGCCTCTGCACTGCTGCGACGCTTGATCTGTGCCACTGTGGACTGGGGATGGAGGGTGGTCGTGCCGCACTCGTGTGACTGCAAGATAGGGCCGCCTAGTGATGTGATTCATGGGCCAGATGTCAGTTGGTTTGGGGCTTACGAGAGGGTCTAGGTGCCGGGCGATACCTCTATCTCCTGTCTACAGCACCTATGCTGCTTGGCTTGGCCTTTCATCCTCGCCTGGCGAAAGGGGATGGATGACGACAGCCGATAGGGGATGCATAGGACGAGTCTACCGACTACGGTAACGGCATGACCCAACGAGCTTGGGCCAGGACACGACACTTAAATATGGCAATGGGTAATCGAATCCGACTAACCGTTGGGTTTTACATGATAAAGAGGCGGGTACGGGAAGAATTCTTCACCTACGGGTATACTAATGGGTAAAAATCTCTGTCCATCAGGTATGCGGGTACGGGTATGGGAACATACTACCTACACCCGTGTACCCATGGGTACACATGTATTCATTAATTACTATGAATACACATATCTATGACTATTACACTACAAATTAGTGTAGTTTTGTTGCTATATTATAATTTTTTATTTTTTATTGACAAAGAATTGACGACATATGATTCTAATAATATAATATATTCATGTCTTTTGTAGCGGGTATGCATTCGGGTATGGGTTACCCGTTGGGTATTTTTACACGCGCGGGTACGAGTATGGGTGAAGTCTTCTATCCGTGCGCAGGTATGGGTAATTTAGCGGGTGAAATTTTATCTCATAGGTACGGGTATGGGATAGCAATACCCGATAGGTATATACCCGTTGCCATCTTTAACGACACTCAGCATAGCAGAACTGAAGGGCAGTCTATCTGTTAGAGACTTACGGCCTGCTTGGTTACATCGCTGAGCATTGTGTCACTTCGCCGAACGTGGATAGCAAGTGCGGGCGTTTGGTTCTTTAGCTAATTTGCTTGACGCTTGGAAGACCTTAGACTTGGCCTATTCATTTCACTAAAATTTGGTTTATGCTGGTGATTATGATGATTTATTGTGAGAGCAAGACTCTATTCGTTCGCTGAAAAGTACTGCTGAAGTAGTACTGCAGAACAGGACTGCCAACAGCACGAACCTAAATGGGAGACCCATTGGATGGTTTGGGACGTGCTTTAGCAAAGGGTCATGCACCTCAAGTTGGCTTTTCCAACAGCAAACCCAAAAGAAGATCCTCGGACACGACGTTTCTTTCTGCCTCCCGCGAAACGATTGTGCGACCGATATTCGGTCAAGGAGAGAGATCGATAGAGGATGCATATTTGGGTTCCACGTCACCTCCCACATAAAATGGGTCCTCCATTTGCCTACTATGTTGGACGGTGTTTTCTTCCCCTAAAGAATGTGAACCAC